CAGGAATCCACGAGACGACATACAACTCGATCATGAAATGTGATGTGGATATCAGGAAGGATCTGTACGGTAACATCGTACTGAGCGGTGGTACCACTATGTTCTCAGGGATCGCTGACCGTATGAGCAAGGAGATCACAGCACTCGCCCCTGCAAGCATGAAGATAAAGGTGGTGGCTCCCCCCGAGAGGAAGTACAGTGTCTGGATCGGTGGCTCCATCCTCGCTTCCCTCAGTACTTTCCAACAGGTAAACACCAAACACTACAAAACAAATCATTTTCTCTAAAATATTCGGTACAGGTGGGTATTTCGGTTCGGTTAAACCAAACCGAACTGATCTGAACTGGATAACACATAACCGTATCTTAATTCAATATAAAAATCCAACGGAAACTGAACTGACCAAATCTAATATAAAAAAAATTCGAATGGATATAGTTTTTATTAATCGAGAAACCCGAATACAATCCTAACCTCAAAATCGGTTTAACATTCGAGGAAACAAAGGAGAAAACCGAACCAATTGAGCTAAACTAAGCTGAAATTTCTGGGTCTTGCATGTGTATTTCATCAGATGTGGATCTCGAAGACAGAGTACGACGAGGCCGGTCCAGGCATTGTCCACAGAAAATGCTTCTAAGCTCATCATCAACAGCAACATCCACGCCGCCAAAAGCGCGTTTATTTCCATTTTCTCCCCATTTGATTGTTTTCTCTTTATGTTTCACGTGTTCGTCGCTTCGTGTGAAATCTTCCGGCTGCTGTGGGAAAACTCTTCCGAGGTCGGGGTTTATAACCAAACTTTAACCTCGGATCCATCCGCGGTGTTTTCCTCCTCCTCTTGTTTTAGCCCCTATTGTTTTGTAGCTTTTGAGTGATTGAAATTTGGCTGCTTTCTATTTTTTCCCCCTCATAAAGCCTAAGACTAAAAATGAACTCTTTCGGCCTGTGTTAATATATGGTATTGTATTGTATGAGACGTTATTTTTTTATTTATATTTTTGGGTGATCTTTGAATATGCATTCGATCCATCCAAGGAGTTGTCCTTCTCACGGTAAAACTATTCGATTTTCGGGTAATTTTATTGAAGTTCAAATTTATCAACCGAGATTATTTTTAGATCGAGCCCAGATTTTACGATTTCAGTGTTAGATATCCGAAATAATTATAAAGTTACAATTGTAATACCCCACTAGATGATGGTCCAGTGGTTCAATGGATGATATTATTTTAAGGTTTTGGATTTAGTTTCACTAATGGAGAGGAGGGGCATAATTAATTACGTGATTAAAAATTGACTTCTGATGATTAAGTGGTTCGAAAACTCAATGAATCTTGTGGTTATTAAAAAAAACTTACAATTGTAATATATATTACAAATTACAAAATTTTGATACTAGAGTATTTTCTGAAATTCGGGTTTTGAAATCCACACATATGAAATCAGATTTTAAATTTTAATATCATACACGATATTTGGATATAGATTTAGAATACTAACTTTGAATTAAGGATATTCTAGGAGTTTTACTCGATTTAGAAAGAACAAAATAAATTAGCGTATTTAGTCTACATTCGGTGTCCATTCAAACGTCAATCTTTACCTTCACCATTCAAACCTAGGAAACCTAATTTTTATAAAAGAAAAAAAAATTAAAACCAAAAAAAAGCTAAAGCAAATAAAACGTAAAACGAATCCAAGACTGGAATGTCATCCACTTGTAAAAATATAAATTGTGGGTCCACTGAAAGGTCTATCATGACGTGGTTTTGCTTGTGAAACAAGTAACCGCGAATAATTAACGATTCAATTATGTATGGGTCCCAAAGTTTCAGAAAATGAATGTCAACACGTTCTCTCTGGTTTGCTTGTGAGACAGAGAAGTCCAAATAATTAAAAGATTCAATGATCTGTCTTAATGGTCCCAATTCTCACACAATGATTGTCAACACTCGATGTATGAATAATAATTTATAAAAAAAAAATGTTTGGAATTGAGAAAAACAAAATCATATAGATTCGTACCTTGCCTGGTAAATGGTCACGTTAAATTTTTTTAGTAAATTCAATGTTTCTTGTCATGCAAGTCACCACCTTAAGCTCTTAGGGTTCGAATCTATCCGTAGGCGATAGATGTCTGTCGGAACTTCGTGTTCCTTACCTTATCGGCAATGACATTAAATCTCGTCCATACGAAGCAGAATCTGTACGACGTGGAAAAGATATGGACTTGCGCGTTATTTTTTGTTGAGGTGAATATTATAATTCAATAAAAAAAAGAGTTTCCAGCAGCACTAGGGTGGAACACAAAATCACAGGAAACTCATCTACAAGTGATCATAATATATTCGGAATATAGTCATCAACACAGTGTTAGACATTACTGGCTTCGCGATTCAGCAGGAACCATCTGTAGAGTTCGATTTTGGTGTACTGAAATTTGCCACCGGGTGGACAAAATGATACTGTGGATGGTGCGATCAATCTTCCTACGAATGGTGGTATGGATAAAGGGGAATGGCATCATGTAAATATGGAAATATTGCATAATGTTCGACCATCACATCGTCTGTAATTTAGTTTTCTTATTCAAGGAGTTAGGTTAGATGTTGTTGTGTGCTTATATGATTTGTTGGTTTATTGCTCTATGATGTACTGTTATGCGAGCTTTATTTAGATACATTTGATGTATTGACACTTTCTATTAGTTTATGGATGAGTGTTTGTTTCATTACGTATTGTGCATACTTGATATGTTATGAAATCCATGTATTGTTATGAACAATACTAAACTCCCTAGTCATGTATCATTGTGGGAATAATGATATACTAAGACTAGTATGATGTGTGATTGATGATCATATAGATGATCATAGGTATTGGATACGATCACGATCATAGGTATTCGTTGGAGAACGGAATACTGGAATGACCCGCATGAGATTGTCACATGGACTTGCGTTCACATGGACTAACGTCATGACTTGAATCTCATATGACGATTCCATGATTGGATCCTAAGACTTGAGATATCTACGGAATCCAACATGAGGAGTTGCGTACTTTGATTACGTCAAAGGTCCTGCGTAACAGGAGGACTATAAAAGCGTGTATGAGGTACGAAACGAATCATGTGCTGGATTGTAGATAGTCAAGATGGGATTTGTACCTCTCGTAAAAGAGAGAGATATCGCTAGGCCCCTCGTGTGAGCAAGACTGTAGAAATGTGTGACCGCACTATAGACGAACGTCGTCTATTTCAAACAGTCGAACTCAGTGAACGAGAAAGCAGTCGAATCAGATAAGGTGGCTTGTCCATGCCTTATATTTGACATATGATATCGTGATACAAAAGATCATCAAACAGAATCATCGTTGGCGTTCGTAGGATCACGAACAAACTCTATTCGAGATAGGTAGTCATAGTGTCTTGCTAGAGACCGCTTATGACTTGTGTAACCGAAATAAGAGATTTCGTGTTATACTGCTATATCGGATGAGCCTACAGGGTCACACACACAGGAAAGGACGAATGCGCGAGAAGAGACGAGAAAATCCCGGTGGAGCGGAGGCCAGACCGACCGGTCCAGAAGGTCTGGACCGATCGGTCCAGCCAACCCAGACCGATCGGTCGTGGACCGGTCGGTCCAGAGGTAACGTGCAAATGTTGCTCGGTCCGGAAAATATTCAAGACCGATCGGTCCGGAATCATGGACCGATCGGTCCACACGTAAAAGCTCCAGACCGATCGGTCCATGCTTGACCGATCGGTCCAGACATCGGAATTTCCTAAACTCGCTCTAATTAGGGTTTTAAGTGGGATTAACTTTAGAGAACGCCTCCCAAGCCTTTTGGCACGATTTTCAGACCCTTTGGGGAGTTTTTGAGAGTTGAAAACCTAAGAGTTAGATCCCTGAAACCCTTGCACAAAGAAGAATGTGTTCTTCAGTCCTAGCAGACAAGTTCCAACCGTTGGAATTCTTTCCGCCGTGTGGATACACGTAGAGGGTGAGGTATACTTCCTACCTTACGTGATGAGACGAAACATCAATTGATACAGGCCCCAAATCGATTGAGGTAAGCGTTCTAACGTTTCTACAAGATCATGCATGATAGGTTTTAGGGTTTCATCAAAATTTTTGTTTTACATCCGCTGCGCAAACCCTAGAACCGATCTCTTAGAAATTAGATTCACTCTAAAGATCCCAGGAAACCCAACGTGATTGAGCCGTCTCGGTGAATAAACACAGAACATTCTTTTCTCTTGTCGTGATTGTGTTACGCGATATGGTATCAGAGCCTGTCACACACAAAATCTCGATCTACACTCTCGTTTTCTGATTTCTTGAAGAAACAACGACCAAAATCAGACATTAATCTCAATCCCTTTTTTTATCGACACCAACCTATTGCATTCGACAATGGCTCACGAGACAACAACACCGACATCGACCCCGACCCCGACTCTAACCCTCGACACCATTGCGGCTCCCCGGAGAACGATTTCTCCATACGATCTCACGCCAAGTGATAACCCCGACCTCGTACTGTCATCACAACCGTCACTACGAGGAGAAAACTATGATGAATAGTCCATCAATATCCGTCAAGTCTTGAAATCTCGAAAGAAGTTCGGATTTGTGGATGGCTCGATTCCAAAGCCACCCACCATCTCACCGGATTTTGAGGATTGGGATACGAACAACGCCTTGATTATTTCGTAGATCAAGAACACTCTTGATTCTCACCTTCGATCAGACGTCGTGCATCGTGAGTATGCACAAGACTTGTGGGACTATCTGAAACGGAGGTTTGGAAAGATAAACGCTCCTCGGCTTCTCAAAATACACAGTGACCTTGCAAACTGTCGCCAAAATGGAATGGCTGTGGAGACATATTTTGGCAAATTGATAAAGCTGTGGGACGATCTCGCCACTTTCTGATCTCTGAGAACTTGCAAGGGTGGAAGATATGTCTGTGACATTGCTACAAAATTGGAACAAGAGCGTAATGAAGATTGGCTTTATGAATTTCTCCTTGGCCTTGACGATGCGAGGTATGTGCGATCAAATTTGCTATCTCAGAAACCTCTACCGAATCTCGAGGAAGCATACAACATTGTAACGCAAGAGGAGGATGTTGGGTTTCCTGGGATCTCAAGAGCGAATCTAATTCCTAAGAGATCGGTTTTAGGGTTGTAAAACAAAATTTTTGATGAAACCCTAAAATCTATCATGCATGATCTTGTAGAAACGTTAGAACGCTTACCTCAATCGATCCGGGGCCTGTATCAATTGATGTGTTCGTCCGATCACGTAAGGCAGGAAGAATACCTCACCCTCTACACGTATCCACACGGCGGAAAGGATTCCAACGATTGAAACTTGTCTGCTAGGACTGATGAACACGTTCTTCTTTGTGCAAGGGTTTCAAGGATCTAACTCTTAGGTTTTCAACTCTCAAAAACTCCCCAAAGGGTCTGAAAGTCGTGCCAAGAGGCTTGAGAGGCGTTCCCTATAGTTAGTCCCACTTAAAACCCTAATTAGAGCGAGTTTTGGAAATTCTGACGTCTGGACTGATCGGTCTAGGCCTAGACCGATCGGTCTGGAGCTTTTAACGTGTGGACCGATCGGTCCATGGTTCCGGACCGAGCAACATTTGCGCGTTACCTCTGGACCGACCGGTCCACGTGTCTGGACCGATCGGTCCAAACCTTCTGGACCAGTCGATCTGGCCTCTGCTCCACCCGGATTTTCTCGTCTCTTCTCGCGCATTCGTCCTTTCCTGTATCGTATCCAATACCTATGATCATCTATATGTTCATCAATCACATATCATACTAGTCTTAGTATATCATTATTCCCACAATGATAAATAACTAGAGAGTTTAGTATTGTTCATAACAATACATGGATTTCATAACATATCAAGGATGCGCAATACGTAATGAAACAAACACTCATCCATAAACTAATAGAAAGTGTCAATACATCAAATGTATCTTAATAA